TTTTTTTTTTTTGTCGGCCAATTGTTTCATTAGATAATATGAACAGGATACATCGTTTTTGTTACACACATCAGAGGATATATGAAATTACATAAGGAGAGACATTGGTTCTGGCTTGTTTTGCCAGAAAATCAGCATGAGTGTTGTCTTGACGCCCAATGTGCTTAAACATGTAAGTGCTATACGCCAAGGCCTTGATATCCTCTAAGTGTCCTTGAATAGCAGCCGGTGGTCGTGGGAGATTACTTCTAGACTTGCATGAATTATCCAGGTATCGATATATTTGTGCAGAATCCCCACAGAAAGTAACATGATCATAGCCCAGCATCTTCATTCGTAGAATAGCTTCCTTGAGAGCTATGGCTTCTGTCTCTAAAGGTGATTCTGTGGCTGCAATTGACGATGATCCCTTGAGAATGTGTTTAGCTTGCCCGTCTTGTAGAATCCAACCAATGCCTGCAGGATTATGTTCATCAAGCCATGAAGCATCTACACAGCAGCATAATGATGAGGTTTGCGTAATAATTTGCTTTAAGGAGGTTGGTGATTGATTTGGTACAGTTATCCTTTCCTCCTTAGAATAATTAAGAGCTTCATTCCAAAGTCGATAATCAACTATGGCTTGATGAATAATTTGAGGAATGCCCCATCTCTTACTATTGAATATCAAGTCATTTCGTGCTTTCCATATACGCCATCCAAGAAAAGGAAAAAACTTTCCTTGGTTCTGCTGGGATGACTTACGGGAGAGCAAGATTTGAAGATAATCTGTAAAATTATGAGCAGAAACCAGCTGACCTGTATGGATGTCAATGGGAGCAAGTTCCCAAATCTCCTTTGCTACTCGGCATTGAAATAGAAGGTGTGTGATTGTTTCAGGTTCTTCTCCGCATAAAGGGCAATCAGTAAGAATGTGGATGCTCCTACGCTTAAGAGTTTCTGCCACAGGAAGAGCATTATTCAATGCTTTCCACCAAAAATGTTTAATTTTTGGTGGGGCAGAGAGATTCCATATAGCTTTACTCAATTTGTTTTTCAAGCATTGCTCAGGATCAGCTATGAGAGTAGGCTTTGTAAGTTGATGATAACCTGATTTAGCAGAATATTGACCATCTCTTGTGTAGATCCAAGTAGGTTCATCTGGAGCTGCCAGAAGACGGGGTCTGATTCTGCAAATTTTCGGGATATCATCCTGATGAATGAGCTGCTGAAGCTTGTCCACATTCCATGTTGCTGCATTTGTATTGAAAAGATCAGAAACTTTCAATGTATTGTTCATTATGGAGCCAATGTGGCGTGGAGGTCTTGGTGGATGGTCAATCCATTGATCCTGCCAAACTCTAACAGTATCCCCATCCCCTATTTTCCATTTAAGACCTTGTTTAAGAAGTTGTGTACCTTGGTAAATGCTTTTCCAGGCATGACTTGTACGGTGTCTTAACTTGGCATCAGTCAATGTCGTACCCGGGTAATACTTTGCCTTCATGACTCTAGCTAATAAGGATGTGGGATTTTTAAGAAGTCTCCAGCTTTGCTTGGCGAGCAGGGCGATGTTGAAATGATGTAGGTCCTTAAATCCCATTCCTCCATGTTGCTTGAGCTGAGTCATTTTGTGCCAAGCAATCCAAGGTATCTTGTGTTTCTCTTTGGAAGATGACCACCAGAATTTTCTAATTTTTCCTGTAATTTTAGATAACAGCTTTTTGGGCAAAAGAAAGCATGACATACAATAGGTAGGTAAGGCTGTAGCGACTGATTTGATTAAAACTTCTTTGCCCGCAGGAGATAATAATTTCGAGTACCAACTATCAAGCTTAGTTTGAACTCGTTGAGTTATATAAGAGAAAATGCTGCACTTGTTTCTTCCCACCAATTCAGGCAGTCCTAAGTACTTCCCAAAACCTCCTACACGATTGATTCCAGTTATCCTAGTAATATTTTGTTGAATATCTTGAGGAACATTCTTACCAAAGAGGATAGCTGATTTCTGAAAATTGACTTGCTGCCCAGAAGCCTCTGCATATTTGTGTAGGAGGCTGAGAAGATGACCCGCCTCTACTTCATTTGCTTGACAAAAAAGCAGTGAATCATCAGCAAAAAACATATGTGATACAGGGGGACCATTTCTACTGGCTTTGAAACCATGAATGGAGGAGGTTGTCATAGCATGAGTGAGTAAAGCTGATAGGCCTTCTGTACATAATAGATATAAATAGGGTGATAGAGGATCACCTTGACGAAGACCTCGTTGGGGAATGATTTTGCTTGAAGGAGATCCATTGATTAACACAGAGTAAGAAACTGTTGTCACGCACTTCATAACCCAATGACGCCATTGCTCTGCAAATCCAAGCTTGTTTAGTATAGCATCAAGATAAGACCACTCTATCTTGTCAAAAGCCTTTGCTATGTCCAGTTTCATGGCCATGAATGGTTGAACTGGTTTCTTAGTAGTTAAAGAATGCATCAGCTCATGAGCAATTAACACATTGTCTGTAATAAGGCGACCTGGAATGAATGCTGATTGAAATTCGGAGACAATTATGTTCAGCCAGGGCTTAAGTCTCTCAGCTAAGATCTTAGATATTAGTTTGTAAGCAATATTACACAAACTAATTGGTCTAAAATCTCTAACTTGAGTAGGAGAAGTCACTTTAGGGATGAGACAAATGTAAGTGTGATTGATTTCTGGATCCAAGTATCCTTCTTGGAAAAATAGCTGAACATATTGGGACACACCTGCTTTAATAGTATTCCAGTGTTGCTTAAAGAAGCCTGCAGTTAGTCCATCAGGTCCTGGTGCCTTGTTCTCATTCATTTGACAAAGAGCTTGGTGTATTTCTTCCTCTGTGATTGGAGCAGTTAGCTTTTGATTGATCTCTGGAGTAACTTTGGGGGAAATGTGTTGCAAGACTTGATCCAAGTTAGCTCTGCAGGAAGAAGAGTATATATCAGAAAAGTAGGAAGTGATAATTCCCTGAATATCTTTTTCATTGGTGTGCAAGTATCCAGTAGCATCTTGAATCGAAGTTATCCGATTGTAGCTCCTTCTTTGCTTGGTTTTTGCGTGAAAGAACTGAGTGTTCTTATCACCTGCATTAAGCCATTGAATCCTGCTTTTTGTGTACCAGTACTCTTCTTCCAACCTATATTCTGTTTGCAACTTAGATTTAATTTCAGCAATGTGATTGTAATCTATGGAGTAAGAAGCATACGCTTTGTGTAGAGCTTCCTGTAGTTCATGTATTCGCTTCTTAGAATTGCAGAGATTGTTTGCTTTCCATTGGGAGAGACTGTCTCTGCATCTTTTAAGAGCCTCATTAAAACTTTGAGGAGGAAGATGACTGCATCTTTGGACCCATGCTTGAGAGATTACTTGCTTCACTTCTGGATTGAGTCTCCATCTGTTGTCATACCTGAATTGCTTACCTCCTCGCCATTTACGATCTACTGTATTAATTAGTAGCGGCCTGTGATCAGAACCACACCATTTTAAAAGTTGAGCATAAGCTTTAGGAAATAGATCCTGCCATTCCGCATTTGCAACTGCTCTATCCAGTTTTTCTTTAACTTCTCCTCCTTGTCTGTTGCCTCTCCATGTATATATACCCCCAAATGTCTTGACGTCATGTAAACCCGAGATGTTTAACATGTGGCGAAAGTGAGCAAACTGCCATTCTGGTCTGATTGGACCTCCAAATTTCTCATCATTATTTTGGATTTCATTAAGATCCCCTAGCATCAGCCTTGGTTTATTGCCATATAAATTTGTTTGAGCAAGAGTTGAGATGCGTCTCCAAAGCTGCTGCCTTAAGCCTCTCACTGGATTCCCGTAGATGTATGTGACGCAAAAAGATATTGGCCCTTCCGATACTATAAGATCCGTAAAGTGAAGCGTGGGAGTGCCTAGAAAATCACACTTCACTGAGTCTTGCCAAAAAATTGCTAATCCTCCACTTAAGCCATCCGGAGAAACTAGAAAATGGTGGGGAAACTGGAGATCCGCGCCGAGCTTTTCTACAAAGCTATCCTTATTTTTTGTTTCTACGAGGAACAGGATATCAGGCCTATATGTATAAGTGATATCCTTTAGATATGGAATTGTCAGGGGGTTCCTCAAACCCTGACAATTCCAATGCAAGAGCTTCATTCTGGTTGTGGTGGCTTAGGGGTTTCCACCTCCCCTTGAGCCTGTTTTGAAAGAGTTTCATTCGGTTTTCTCCTTGAAGTAGAGACTTCATCTTCATCAGCATCCTCCATGTTCTTGCGTTTAGTTCCTCGATCCTGAACTGGAACAGATGCAGATCCAATTTCGCGAACTGCAAAAGTTTGATTAACTCTATCTGTAATGTCACCTGGATGCGTGAAATCCATGTATTCCCCTTGTGCAGCATTGTATGTCTGATTTTCTGAAACATCCATTTGCAGATTAGACCCAACTGTTTCTCCCATAGTGTCATCCGCCACATCTGTGGGTGTATGTGGTTCATCAACCTGTTGATTACCAATTGCAGGAGAGCCTTCAGGATGTGGGCCTTGAATAGGAGCAGGAAGTTGTAGTGGCTCTGCTTCTGGGATTTGAGAATTGCAGCCAGAAGCTTGATGAGTGAGGCTACCACAGATGGAACAAAATCGTCGGAGCTTGTCATAAATGTAACGGATAAGAGTTGGATTTCCAGAGTCGTCCAATTGGAAGTATCTGGCAAAAAGCAGCTTTCCTGAAATATCAAATGGAATCCTGACCCATACTTCACCAGGCTTGTCTGCTGATGGTTGTTGGATGTGAACTTCCTCAACATGGCCTAAGACTCCTCCGATTTCATCAATCATACGCTCATTCCTGGAATCATCAGGGAGATTTAGAATTCTGACCCAGAAGCGAATTATTCGAAGGAAGTCTGGATACTGGCGTCGGGACCATCGATCAACCACAACTAGCCAGTCTTTGTAAGTCCATGGACCGTTGTCCAATACTGTAAGAAGTTGATGTTCACGTTTGAAGAAGAATTGGACAGATCCGTCGTCATTGATTCTGCTAGTGATTCTTCCTTCAAGCTTCCATATTTTCGGCATCATGACTTTGATTCCTGCAGGATTCTGTGATGGATGGAGACCTTTAACTACTAGACTAAGTTGATGCTCAGCATCTCTCCTATTCTTGGCTTCAGATGAAAGCTTCAATGGAGCTCTTTCAGAACCTAAGTTAAGATTCTGCAGAGAATACCACAGATCTTGATCGGCCATAGAGTAAAGATGATGTAGGTGATGTAGATCCGATAGATCGAAAACAGAATCCGCGATCTGCGGAAGAGGAGTCACCGGAAAAGTGAGTCGGTGAAAGCTTGTCTTCAGAGGGTTCGAGAATCGCCTCCTTCTTCGTCTATCCCAGAAAATGAATGAAGTTACCAACTTTAAGTGTGGTATTTTGAATTTAAGACATAAAACACATGAATTTCAGACTATGTAAGAGTTATATGATCCTGTAGATTTTGTGTTACTATTTTCTTCACCTAATAGAAAATGTGTAAGATATTAATTTGGTTTGGGAAAAATGTCGTTAAAATCCCCAATTTATTCAAAACGTTGATTTAAATCCTCAACTCATGACGAAACGAAATAAATATCAAACTTATGTTGACTTTCCAAATAAATATTAAACTTATGTTGACTTTCCAAATAAACACCAAACTTTCATTGACTTTCCAAATAAATATCAAACTTCCGTTGATCTGACCATATTAGGTACGACGTTAAGTGGGTTACTAAATCCTCAACTCATGACAAAACGAAATAAATATCAAACTTCCGTTGATCTGACCATATTAGGTACGACGTTAAGTGGGTTACTAAATCCTCAACTCATGACAAAACGAAATAAATATCAAACTTCTGTTGACTTTCCAAATAAATATCAAACTTATGTTGACTTTCCAAATAAATATCAAACTTCCGTTGACCTGGCCATATTAGGTACGACGTTAAGTGAGTTAATAGATCTCGTTAACGGAGGTAATTTTCTGTTAACATATATGTTAATTGATAACGACATTGTTTCATATAACAACAAAACGACGTCGTTTTGTCGTAACGATTGAATTAAATCCCTAAAGTCAATCTTAGATCCCCAAATCGAGCAAAATCCCTAACCCTAAATAGAGTATGATTTGAAACTCGGGATTTTATTGAACAGTTAACACAAAACAACGTCGTTGTTGGTGTCGGATCCCGCACCAGTAGACCGGGACCAACCAAAGATTGCCACGTAAGTAGAGTGAAGGCCCACAGAGGATAAGGCCCATAAAGCCCATCGTTTACAGAGTACAATCGAAGTGGGCATCACCATAAAGAGAGCCCGAAGTGGTCATATTTCGGGATACAACTCGGGATCGAGGTCGAAGTCAAAACGGCTCAAAGTAACTTGGGCCAAAAGGCGAAGCCCATGAAGATCGGAATCAATTCAAATTCAAACGTTGAGCATTAAACTTGAAGACTAAAACGGACGTATTTAAGAGAGAATAATTGTGTTTAATTGAGAATTAAATGTCGTTTGTCAATATAAATAAGAGGGCTAATAGCCATGTGAGACACACGCAATTTTTCTAGCAAATACACTATAGTCATTCCTATTGCAATTCATAGCTTTTTTATCATATTTTTGCCCTCAAGAATAATCATTCCCACTAATTAAACAAATATTCAAGTGTGCGAATCCGACATCCACATTTTGGCGCCGTCTGTGGGGATCTAGAAGATTCTTGAGTTGTCAGATTTCTCTCATTTCCGAGATAAGCAGCAATGTCTGGAACAAGCATCCCTGATTCGACAGTAGCCGAGGCTCTCAAGACCATGCAGCAAGCCATAACAGAAATGTCGCAGAAGTTCTCGGATGTGAAAAAAGCTGTGGACACGCTTAAAACAACCCAGGTATCTCTTGGTCAAAACATCAATACTATTCAATCTCGTGTTCGTTCTCTAGGTGCAGGAAGTACCGTGGGAGTCCGCAGAAGCATGTTCAGTACGCCAAACTCCCGTGTGCGAAGTGAGACCAACGAACAAACAACTTCTAACCCAACAATCCAACCGGATGTGGAAGAAGAGACGCAGCTCGGAGATGAAGATCAGCTTGTAGATCAGTATGATCAAGAGAGCTTCGGTCAGCTCGAAACCATGAGGAAGGTTAGCCAGGAACTAAAAGAAATGAAGTCAAAGTTCCACCAGGCCACCAGTTCGGAGCCGGACATTAACCGAGTCATCGAGGAAGCTAGGCGAACTCCTTTCATTCCGCGAATTGCAAATTTGAGAATCAAGGATTCTCGAAAACTCAAACTGGATCCGTACAGTGGATTAGAAGACCCAAAAAGCTATCTCGCAGCTTTTCTGATTGCCGCTGGAAGAGTCGAATTGGATGAAGCTGATGAGGATGCAGGATACTGCAAACTCTTTTCGGAAAACCTTTGCGGTCAAGCACTAATGTGGTTCACTCAGCTGGAACCAGGCTCAATCAATAACTTCGACGAGTTGTCGGCTGTTTTCCTGAAACAATATTCTATCCTCATGGATAAAAGCGTTTCGGATGCTGACCTCTGGAATCTAACACAAGGGCCAAATGAGTCACTTAGAACTTTCATCACCAAATTCAAGGGAGTGCTGTCAAAACTCCCAAGAATCTCGCAGCAGTCAGCTTTATCTGCCCTACGAAAAGGCTTATGGCATGACTCAAGGTTCAAAGAAGATCTGATACTTCACAAACCGGACACAATCCAAGACGCACTTTTCCGTGCAAATAACTGGATGGAAGTAGAAGACGAAAAAGAGAGTTTTGCGAAAAGGAACAAACAAGCAAAACCAGCGGTCACTTTCCCTACCAAAAAGTTTGAGCCCAGAGAGAACCAAGGACCTAAAAAGTTCGGATCGCAACCCCTCAACAATACCGTCGGGAAACAATTTCAAGGAAAAGGAAGGTCGAACACTTGGGTCCGTGACGAAAGTTTGCATTGTGACATCCATAAGGTAACCGGACACTTAACCAAAGATTGTAGTGTCCTCAAAAAGCACCTCGCAGAGCTATGGGCCAGTGGAGATCTTTCTAATTTCAAGATAGAAGATTTCGTGAAAGAATATCACGAGGCAAAAGATATCCCTAAAGATCAGAATTTAAAAAGACCTAGGCAATCCAACGAAGAAGAACCTAGAAGTTCTAAAGGAAAAATTAATGTAATCATTAGAGGTTCCAAGCTTTGTCGGGATACGATCAATGCCATAAAGAAGCATAGGCGAAATGTTTTATTTAAAGCAAATTTAGGTGAAGAAATGGACTTTCAAGGCACGTCAATATCATTTGACGAAGAAGAAACATGTCACCTCGAAAGGCCTCATGATGACGCCCTAGTCATTACCTTAGACGTTGCTAACTTCGAAGTTTCGAGAATTCTCGTTGATACGGGCAGTTCGGTCGACTTAATCTTTTTAGGTACCCTGGAAAGAATGGGAATCAGTCGGGCAGATATAGTAGGACCGCCGTCTCCTTTGGTGGCATTCACAAGCGAATCGGCCATGTCTCTCGGGACGATCAAGCTACCAGTTCTTGCTAAAAACGTGTCAAAGATAGTAGATTTTGTTGTTTTCGATAAACCGGCAGCTTACAACATCATCCTTGGGACTCCATGGATTTATCAAATGAAGGCAGTTCCCTCGACGTATCATCAATGCATCAAATTTCCAACTCCTAGTGGAGTGGGAACAATTCGAGGAAGTCAAGAAGCTTCACGAACGTGCTATCTGACCAGTCATCGACTAAAGATCCAATAGCAATTAACGAAACCTGCGAAGAAGGAAATTCCAAGATTTCCTAGTGGGCAAAAAGAAGACGATGTGGTAATCGAAGTAGTATTGGAAGAAGATAAACCAGATCGGAAAGTCCGAATTGGAGTCACCTTGACTGGCGAGATAAAAGAAGCTTTGATTGAACTTCTAAGGAAAAACAAGACGTCATTTGCATGGTCAGCGGCCGATATGCCTGGCATAGATCCAAGCATAATCTGCCACAAATTGAACGTAGATCCAAGTTTTAAGCCCGTAAAACAAAAGAGAAGGAAACTCGGAGTAGAGCGAGCAAAGGCAGTAAATGATGAAGTGGACAAACTACTAAAAATAGGATCTATAAGGGAAGTACAATACCCGGAGTGGGTGGCAAACACCGTCGTGGTCAAAAAGAAAAATGGAAAGGACAGAGTGTGTATCGACTTCACCGATCTCAATAAGGCATGTCCGAAAGATAGTTTTCCGCTCCCGCATATAGACCGACTCGTAGAATCTACCGCTGGGAATGAGTTATTAACTTTCATGGATGCTTTCTCGGGTTATAATCAAATAATGATGGATCCAGAAGACCAAGAAAAGACGTCATTCATCACAGACAGAGGTACCTACTGTTATAAAGTAATGCCTTTTGGTTTAAAAAACGCAGGAGCCACTTATCAACGATTGGTCAACAAAATGTTCCATGAGCATCTCGGGAAGACAATGGAAGTCTACATAGACGATATGTTGGTTAAGTCTTTGAAGAAAGAGGATCACATTAAGCATTTGGAAGAGTGTTTTGAAATTCTCAACCGATATCAAATGAAGCTGAACCCGGCGAAGTGCACTTTCGGAGTTCCATCCGGAGAGTTCCTTGGTTATATCGTGACAAAAAGAGGAATCGAAGCTAATCCAAACCAAATTAATGCCTTTCTAAACATGCCATCTCCGAAGAACTTCAAGGAAGTACAGCGTCTGACTGGTCGAATTGCAGCCCTAAACAGATTTATTTCAAGATCAACGGACAAGTCTCTGCCTTTTTATCAAATTCTGAAGGGAAATAAAGGGTTCCTTTGGGATGAGAAGTGTGAAGAAGCATTCGGACAACTTAAAGCATACCTCACTACTCCACCAGTGTTGTCTAAACCCGAAGTGGACGAGAAGCTCTATTTGTATGTTTCAGTGTCAAAACATGCAGTTAGTGGAGTCTTGGTCCGGGAGGACCGCGGGGAGCAAAAACCGATTTACTACATAAGTAAGTCAATGACAGATCCAGAGACAAGGTACACAATGATGGAAAAACTCGCACTTGCAGTAGTAACTTCAGCCCGGAAGCTGCGCCCATACTTCCAGTCTCATCCAATCGAAGTGTTAACCAACCAGCCACTCCGAACAATACTTCATAGTCCAAATCAATCCGGACGATTGGCGAAATGGGCAGTGGAACTAAGTGAATATGATATAGAATATAAAAGCCGGGTCAGCATGAAGGCTCAGGTTTTGGCAGATTTCCTAACC